AGATAAAAACAAGAGGTCGGGCACGAGGGGAATAAGAACACTGATGCCGTAGCATGTAAGGAAATATTACTGAGTTTGAGTGGCTCTTGTTGGAGCGGCTGAGATGCGGCTGGCATGATGAACACTCGTGGGTTTCTGACTGCAGAAGCTCAATGCTCTCGAGCTGGTTTCACTGTGCCATACAGAAGAGAGAATCTGAGAGATTAGATGCTCATAATGACTGCGGCTGAAGATGAAGACGTGTTCGCTGAGCTCACAGATCTGTGTTCACACACTCCTCCTTTCTCATCCCATAGATGTCAGTCTATTATTTCGGTCTTTCCTTTGCATAATCAGGATGTCTGTTGTTCTTATCTTCTAATTTCAAAAGAATATTCCAGATGTTGATTAAATAATTTCAGTGATTCAAAAAATAATTTAAATTCATCCACATTTTCCTTTTTTATTTATTATTATTATTTTATTTTTTTTATTTTTATGCTGAAATCTGGGTTGCATACAATGGCATTAAACGTTAGAACACTCGCTGTTTCAACGGCATAACCACAAGATGCAAACAATATGTGTGTTAAAATTATTTTACTGTGAAAAAAAAAAAAAGACTTTCTAACTGTTTCTAACAAAGTTATATCCAAGTTTACAGCTTTGTTGGCATCGGAAAATAAAGCCTAAAACTCTAAAATAATAAAAAAATGGACTAGAACAACTTTAAAACTTAATGCACACATCGTAATGAAAAATGTACTGTAAGTGCTTTTATAAAATCCTAAACGTCACATTTATGCATTTAAACCTTTCAAAAAATTGGGCCCATTTACTTTCATTGTAAGTCTCTCACTGTAACCCTGAATCAATCATTTATTCATGCATTCATTCATTTATGGACAAATGAAATTACTTTTTGTGAAAATTAGCATGATGCCACAAATTCTGCAGATGGAGCTTAACTTGTAGAAACATGATCAATTTCTTTCTTGTACAGAGCCACTAGATCAGGCTTTTACTGCATGCGCCTGCCAACATTTTCACTGGCCACACCAAAAGAAAGTTACAATAACAGCTGGGACTTCTACAGCTATAATTTAACTAAATAACAGGTATAAATTCATGAGGACACTTTTGATGGAGAATTATGTCTTGCAGATAAATAAATAAAAATGAATGAATGAATGATTGATTGATTGCATTTTCAGTATCGGTTTTTTTTCCCCTTCAGTAAAGCTTTTTCTATCAGTGGTTCTTGAACTTCAAGCCCCATGCTTTTGTTAATTCAGTTTGATCTGAAGTGTGGATTCTCTGTTAAGCAGCACTCTCTGTTAAGATGATCAGAAATAGCATCTGCTGTGTTTTATGTGTCCGTGTGCTATTTCTGATCATCTTCCCTCAGTCACACACTCAGTTCAGTCCAGCCTCTCCAGAGCTCAGAGAGACTCTCAGAGACCGGCTCTCAGCGCTGTGACCTCTGCAGCGGCTCCATGAAGACCGACGGAGAGTGTGTGACACCTGAGAGTGAAGACAAGCCTATCAAACAGAGCGGCTGGAGTCTGCCCTCCAGACCCGCAGTGACTAACGGAGGAAAGCCACCGCATCGATGCCTATTACACCAGTCATCTAGTGAACTTTAATGACATTTAAATGCAATTTTAAAGCTGCAGGGAAAACAAATGGCTTTTGCATGTGCTATTTTGTGTGCGATTATTATTGACTGATAAAAACACTCGTGAGACTGAATGCAAGATTAAACAGATTTAGTTTGCTCACTCTGTTATTATTCACTAAGATTAGACAGAGGGGGAATAAGTAATGTGAAACACCTTAAAAAGACAGTTGTATTAGTATGAGATATGTAAGATGTCTGTTTGCACATAAGCATTAGATGGTAGAAACAAATCAAACATATATTCACAATTTGACCTACACTCTTAAAAATAAAGGTGCTTCAAAAGGTTCTTCAAGCGATGCCATAGAAGAACCATTGTTGGTTCCACAAAGAACCATTCAGTCAAAGGTTCTTTAAAGAACCATCTCTTTCTTACCTTCTTATAATCTGAAGAACCTTCTTTCGCCACAAAGAACCTTTTGTGAAAGAGAAAGGTTCTTCAGATGTTAAAGCTTCTTTATGGAACCATTTAGACAAAAAGGTTCTTCTATGGCATCGTGAAGCACCTTTATTTTTAAGAGTGTATTGTGGGAAATAATAATGGAAAATGCAGTGTAATAGTAAAACCTGTATGATAAATGTGGATTTGGTTGTCATTTCAAACTTTCTTGTGCATTTTTTTATTTGTAAAATGCATTATTATTATTATTATTATTATTATGACTGACTGAGTAACATGAGTACTAACAGTGTTAGCTCTGCGGTGCTGTTAAGATCTGCATGTGTTTTGAGCTCGTTGTTTCTCTTCAACCTTCATGATTCATTCAGCGTCAGCATTTTACTCTCCAAATGGCTTTTTTATTATTATTAATTAGCCAGGTTAATTAAGGCCAAATGCTCGCGATGACACAGGCAGGGCAGAAGCACACAGTCGTGGGTCGGTGTTAGAGAGCTACTAATGATGTGCAGATATACTGAGCGTGTCTTTGGTCCCAGGCTCTGCAGTCTGGAGTCCGGAGGGAAATGCGGACAAACGCGTCTCATAAACAAGCGTCTGTTCAGTTAAGAGCTGTGAAACCTCATGTCCAGCATGCTTGAGTTCTGTTCCTGAAGTGAGCCTGCTCGATCCATCCTCCTCCCGTCACATACAGGTCATTCCTGGTTCAATAATAATAATAATAATAATAATAATAATAATAATGTTTTATTTTATTTTATTTTATTTTATTTTACCGCTAAACTCGTTGTGTGGTTCCTGGATTAACAAGAAATTGTTGTTTTTAAAAAAAAAAAAAAAAAGTTTTCTTTATAGGAGAATTGACTCAAAGTGATCCTCACAAATAACAAATAACGCAGGATAGCAGAGCAGATTTCTGATGATTGGCAGAGCCGGTGGAGGAAATAAAACACATTAATTGGCCAGTTAAAGATCTAAATCTTCTCGCCTTTTTCTCCTCCTTCTTCAGGTAATATGTTGTGCTGAAGTCTATTACCAGCGCTAGACGCTCCTGTCCCTTTAGATGAAGCAGAAATATATAAATAACGGGAAGAAAACGCAGCCATCAGCGGAGCTTTGCGCAGGTCGATAAAGCTTTTAGATTTGGAGATGTTTCTATTTCCTGCGGCTAAGAGTTGTTAACGGAGCTTAAGGAATTATCTTATGGCTCTGTGTTTTGAGAGCAGTTTATTTCAGGGCCCCTGTGTCCCCTGTCAAGTCTGAATATGCTGCTGTCAAAGGCGCTTAATGAAAAGTAACGCGTCGCTGATTACAGTTTGTTTCGGTTTCTATGTAAAAGCGCCGTTAATTCAGCATCACCCCTCCACCCTGTGTGTGTGTGTGTGTGTGTGTGTGTGTGTGGGTGTGTGTGTGTGTGTGTGTGACATGCCTGAACGAGTAAGTCAAACCATCACATCTCCTCCCCCTCTCCCTGCCTCTCCAAACCCTGTTTAACGAGAGGAAACTTTCTTGAAACAGCAACTATATATTATTTTATGCAATACGCAAAATATTTTATTATTCTATGCAATGTTATTTTATTCTGTTCTTCAAATTTCTTTGCGATCTGCTCTGCAATTTTAAATTGTTTTCATTTTAGAAAAATCTCTTAATGTAATATAATTTTAAAGTATTTATTGTTAGTAGTAGTCTTATCATTATTATTAACATTATTATTATTATTAGTCATTGTTTTTAATATGTATCATTACTACTACTACTACTACTACTACTATTATTAATATTATTATTTATGATTATTATACAATGTATGTGTAAAATAACAAATTAAGCATTAATAATTCTGGCGCTTTAGATTTTATGTTACCTTTTTTTTTTTTTTTTTTTTTTGAGTGAAAAAGAATACTCTTTAATTTTAGACAACGAAATAAAGCATCACCAGCACCGTTTGTTGTGCACTGCTTACGGACAAAACGCGTTTTTCCAAATATCTTTGTACAGGGGATGGTTCAGGAGAAGGTCTCAATCGTTTGGCTTTCACATTGAAATTCATCAGTGAGGGCCCTCTCAGCGGACCCCAGTCCTCCAGGGGCCACACTTTCACCATCACTGTCAACTCCTGCCTTTGACTGCGCGTTTTTGCCCTTTCATCTGGACCAACTAATTCTCTTGCCCTTTTCACTTAGAGACGCGCCCCGGTGAAAAAGCCTCCGAGTGCAGAGGAGCTCCAGAAATTGAGGGGTCCGTGTCAAGACGAACATTTCAAATGATCTCGCCTTCTACCATATAAACGGCCTGTCTGCAGAGCTCAAGTGCTGGGTCAGGGTGAAGGATTTGGCGCTTCGATAATATTATCAGAGGCAGAGAAAGAGAGAGCAGAAATCGATAGAGTGAAGTGAATGATGACTGAAAACATCCCAATTACAGGCTGGTTATGGCGGGTTAATGGGGCTCATCCAGCGCTGTCTTATGGCTCCTGAGGGCCTCATCTCTCCCATCAGAGGACGCGAGAGAATGATAAACAGTTATTGGGGGATTATTACAAAGCCAAACACAGTGAACACGAAACAATCACTGCTGAGAACATCGTATACATTATTTAGAGTGGACAGTCGGCCCATTCGTATTGTGATGCCATTGCTTTGGCCTAATGATATAACATTTAAAATTTAAGTTACTTTTACATTTTCAAATGCAATGTTTCTTTTTTTATTTTCTTTTTTTATACCGAAAACGTATGCATATGTAGTTGTAGGCCTATATTTTATGATGCAAATGTTAAATTACAGGATAAAATGTAGCACAACTTTTTCGTGTCAAAACTAATAAAAACAAGACATACAATCAAATAAGATGCATTTATTGAAGCCAGCATGTGAATCTAATCGCGTGTTCAGCACCAGGGACAGCGACTCTGATCGATACACAGAACAAAAGCTGCGAAAAATCCACCGTTTATTATAGTGAACAGATTTGAACATTCCCCGTTTCGAGGAGATCTGTGCATTTGTGCGATGTTTTCGTAACAGTGACACTTGTGAGTCGTTGCGACAAGGTCCGAGTTCGCCTAAAAGAATGATAAATAAAAACTAGCAACGTATGCATGCCAAAGAAACGATAAAAGCCGGAACGAAACTAGCCTGTAAACTTTTTTCAGTCTTTCAGAACATAAACTTCCAGTTAATTTACATAATCTGAACGTGCGTCAGCCAAACCAATAAATACATATAAACCAACCCCTCGCCAGTGAGATGTCACCACAGCAATAAACGCATACATTTTTATGTAACAAAACGTATTTTTGGGCCCATCGATTCACAGTCTGGCATTTGTTTGTGAACTGAAAGCGTAAACAGCTATTCCAAACAGTCTTTTTGGTGTGCTAGGAGCAGAATATTTTATTCACCCCCTTTGGAAATGTCATACTGTCCTTGCTGGCCTCTTGAGGCTGTGTTTTCATCACGTTGTTGGAGCGTCCAAGCGCTCCAGTCTCTAAGATCGACCCTTTGGTCGAGGTGGTCCAAGAAACCGTAGTGTTCGTGTGTGCTTGGTTCAAGGAGCCGTGTCTAAACAAGGGGTCGTGAAAAACACCATCTACCCAGTTTCTGAGAGTCGTGACAGGTGAGTCCTGCTGTCTCTCCAGGCCGCTGACAGGTGAGGAGGCGGGGGGCGATGGCTGGCACCGAAGCATACACGAGGAGTACTCTGTCGCGGTCTGGGCCAGAGACCAGATGCGCGGTTTGCTGTCCAGTAACGCAAGGCCCTGCTGCTGGAAGCACGTTTTGCTGTGCTCGCAGTCTTCCGCGGTGCTTTTCAGGCCGCTTTTGGCTTCGAGCAGACCGGGGATGGAGAGCTTTGGAGGCGCTTCTTTGAGGCGGTCGTCGGTGGTCGCCATGTGTGCGTTCATATGGAAGCGGTGCTTGAGTTCACACTCGGAGCTCTCAGACTCGATGGTGTCAAAGTCGTCCAAGTCACTCAGCTGGAGCTCCTTGTCCTCTCGACATTTGCTCTCTGTTCAGAAATAGTGATGGAGTAAGTGGAGCGCGACAGAGAACAACATATACAAGCCTGAGAATTATTGAGCACGCGAAACTAACGTTTTTATTAAAATAACTAAATACATCTACATTATAAAACGCATCACAAATGTGACCCTGGACCACAAAACAAGTCATAAGGGTCTTTTTTTATTATTGAGATTTATACATAAGCTGAATAAACAAGCTTTCCATTGGTGTATGGTTTGTTAGGATCGGACAATATTTGGCTGAGATACAACTATTTGAAAATCTGGAATCTGAGGGTGCAAACAAATCTAAATATTGAGAAAATCATCTTTAAAGTTGTCCAGATGAAGTTCTTAGCAATGCATACTACTAATCAAAAATTATTTTTTGATATATTACGGTAGGAGATTTACAAAATATCTTCATGGAACATGATCTTTACTTAATATCCTAATGCTTTTTGGCATAAAAGAAAAATGTATAATTTTGACCCATACAATGTATTGTTGGCTATTGCTACAAATATACCCCAGCGACTTAACACTGCTTTTGCGCTGCAGGGTCACAAATAGTAAGTTATTGTACAATAAAATAGTTAGCAATATAATAGTTAGCAATGACAACTGCCTTGGTGAGCCTTCCACCAGACCTTTAAAAGTTTGCGCTTTTCAGGAACATTCTTGAAAACTCAGATAGCTCAGTGCTGGAGTGTAATTTATTTATTTTTTAAATAAAAATATGAAATATGTTTTAAAAATAGGCCTAATAATAACAACACATTGATATAGGAGAGGATTTGTGAAGAACGGAATGGAGCTGACCGTCATCATTGGTTTCACTTTTGATTTGATCTTCTTGCGAGCCATCCTCATCCTCATCCTCATCATCATCATCATCATCGTACTTCTTATCGTCGGAGCCCTTGCTTCTCGGTGGCCATGTCATCTTGTTCTCCTTCTTGAGCCTTCTTCTGGCGTTGGCGAACCAGGTGGACACCTGCGTGAGGGTCATCTTGGTGATGATGGCCAGCATGATCTTCTCGCCTTTGGTGGGATAGGGGTTCTTTCTGTGCTCCTGGAGCCACGCTTTTAATGTGCTCGTGGTCTCACGCGTGGCGTTCTTCCTTCTGCTTCCTCCCTCCATAGATCCGTATCTGTGGCATGAAAGAAAGGTGTGGTGGGAAAAGTTTTGCAGTGCAACACAGCAATGCAAAGACTTTTATTTCCTTAAGGCCTATAGCCTTCCTCGCATTTATCTTTTTTTTACAGAGCGAACAAATTGTTTGATCGAGTGCACCGGGGCCGGGTGTCGGTCCATTAAAGCACTTCAGGGGAAACCCTGAAGGCCAAACATGATATTACATAAAATATACATCAAAGACAGTGACCTGAAATTCAAGGGAAGTTCTGTTATTGCTTTAATTTCCTTAGTGAAAAAAAAAGCTTTCAAATGAATGCGGTAATTATTCCATCAATATGTTGAGCGCTGCCTATGAAATTGATCCAAATGAACCGAGGCATGTTAACTGTCAATCAGAAGACTCTTAATGAAGGCCGCTATTCAATACCTATCATACTGGTACTGTCCCAGGGTGGGATCGTAAGGGTAATATGCGGCAGCCTGTGTTATACCCGCATGCGCAGACGCACTTCCATCTTTGGCATCAAACGTTCCCTGGAAATAAATACAAGAGCTGTCAGCAATTCAACTTTACATTTACCATGCTTGTTGATATAACCATGGTAATGAGCAAAATATGATGCTTATCCTAAACTTGGAGCCCATAGAATATAGAAAACAATCATTGAACCTCTGCTCAAATGCATACTACATTCTTAAAAATAAAGGTTCCAAAAGGGTGTTTTTGCAGTGATGCCATACTTTGGTGCCCCAAAGAACCTTTCAGTGAAAAGTTCTTAAACGAACCGTTTTGAAGAACATAAAAAAAAAAAAAAATCCACTATAAAGAACCTTTTCTGCATTAGAAAGGTTGCATGGATGTTCAAGGTTCTTCATGGAACTATATCAATGCCAATAAATAACCTGTATTTTTAAGAGTGTAGATACATACAAAGTAATATAAGTTAATGTTCTTATTTTATAAACTTTATTTTTTTTCTCAGATATAGAAATGCATATAGAGTTTTGGTGATCTAAACACAATGACTCACTGCTAGGACGCATGTCATTATTATCATTTATAATCGCGCATGTTCTAAACTCACCAAAGAGTAGAAAGCGGACGCGTCAGCGCCGTAGGTAACATAGTTCCCGTAGCCCTGGCCGCCGGTGTACGGGCTCCCGTAGACTCCCAGCGCGGCGGCGGAGCTCAGCTCGTGTCTGGCGGTGGCCAGCAGTCTGCTCTCGTACACCGGACAGTAAACGGGCGTCTGCGCGGACGAATCCGAGATGGATCTGGTGCTCGACTCGCAGCAAGATGTCAGGGAGTTGGTGGTCATGAGGAACTGGAACATTTGGAAATGTCACAGCGTGAATAAAACACCAACCTGCAAACCTGTACGATTTTGCAAAACGGCGAAAATGCATTGAAAGTTGGTTTTGGGCAGTAGCAGCCCTCAGCCCCCACAGGACGATGCACTTTATGGATCATGGCCAAAAAGCAACTGTTGTCCTCCTTCCCCCTGTCTTCGCATCTGCACTTTTGCATGCGTCTGCGGCTCGAACGCGTGTTAGTAGATTTGTAAAATGATAAGCTCAGAGGGAAGCCCAGCGCAGAAATCCGATTAAACCTGTATCTGCATCGCCTTCGAACCCGCAGCGCGCGTGAGCGCCTTTCCCCTTTTAACAATCTGAATCAGTGCAAGAATAAGCGCGCGACTCTTACCTGGGGTGCAGAAGAGTACGGATATCCGAACTGAGGATAGGACATTGTAGAGTGATCCCCGTGTGCCGGAACGCAGGCGAGACTGCAGCTCTGCTGTGTTTCAGTGTACCGATTGATCGGTAAAGCATAAAGCTGCCGGACGCTTATAGGGCGAAGCGCAATACTAGCATGTTTAATCTGCTTAAACGCCTTCCTGAGAGTGTTCGATAGATGGATGCTCTCCTAACGCTCTATTAAACTTCTACAGCACAGCCGCGCGCATCCTGAAGCATTTGTTGAATTGCCGTCTTTGATGTCAGAAATACATATTTTGCCTTATAAAAACTAGCATTAAACACGTCAGCCCAGATGCGGGTTGTTTTAAACGCCGGTGGCTCTGACGTCAGAAGAAACCCAGTCAAAATGACCAGACTCTAACTTTAATATGCATTTCTCTGGATAAAAATCCCAACGAGTGACAGAGGGGTGGGGGTGAATTTTGAAGGCACAGTGGGCTTGTAATTGAGCTTATCAATTAAACCGAGCTTTGGAAAAAGAGGTTGCACTGCTAAAATCTGACGATCAAACCGTATATTTTGTTATATCGCTTTTGATGCGCCCTTTTTTGTCTCAGTTTAATCAGGAATTAAATAAATGATCAAATGTGTGTGCCTGCATTAACAAACACCTATACTTAAAAAAAAAAAAAAGAAAAAGAAAGAAAGTACCAATTTTGATTTAGATATCATAAATCATATCTAGTACACAATCAGCTGCAATCGTGGATTAGCCACAAATCAGATATTAATTCGAATTAACATGCATTTAGTTTCCTACAAATAAAAGCCTGAAACTGCAATACTTAAGCGTCTGTATACTTCATGATTTGTCTATTTATCACTGAAATAATAGTTACTATACAATGTTTTGAGAGATTAAAAAAGTGTTAATGTCACCTTTCTATCTATCTATCTATCTATCT